CTCAAAAGATATATGCTCAGTGAGTATATTTATGAGTATATGCTCATCTGAGCACACTCATGAGTGCACTCAAGTGAAGTTGCAAAATTCAAAAAATTAATTAAGCTAAATTTGAATATTATAGGTTAGCTGAAATCAAGTACTGTTCCGTTTATTTCTTTGAATTTCTGTGAATAATTTTGAAAGAGTTAGAAATTATTATTAATATTTTATCTCAAATACTTAGACGGAAACATATAAATCTGGTCACCCATCTTTGTTGAAATATCTTCTGCGTTGCTTAACTTCTGATATCTCACACTTTTCCTTGGAGCTATTGTCTGTAAATATATAATAATTTATATATGGCATAACACATACTTAAATTATTATATTTTTACAGGCGAACTAAGTTCTTTGAAGCTTGAATCTTATTGAGCACCAATTTTAACGTTTTCGATTTAGCTGACATTTTTAAAAAACGTCAGCTTCCTTAAAAAATCATTTTTTTAACGTTTTCGATTTAGCTGACATTTTTAAAAAACGTAAGCTTCCTTAAAAAATCATTTTTTTAGCGTTTTCGATTTAGCTGACATTTTTAAAAAACGTCAGCTTCCTTAAAAATCATTTTTTTAACGTTTTCGATTTAGCTGACATTTTTAAAAAACGTCAGCTTCCTTAAAAAATCATTTTTTTAACGTTTTCGATTTAGCTGACATTTTTAAAAAACGTCAGCTTCCTTAAAAAATTATTTTTTTAACGTTTTCGATTTAGCTGATATTTTTTTAAAAAATCTCAAATAATGAGTTTTTAAGGTAGCTGACGTTTTTTTAAAAAATGTCAGCTAAATCGAAAACGTACACAATTTGCTCTTGAATAAACTCAGTAAGTGCACTCATATGAGAATATAAAAAAAATTGTGTGACACAGAAGTGAGCTTGCTCATTATATGCTCATGAGTACATTCAGTAAGTGCGCTCATATGAGAATATATAAAAAATTGTGTGACACAGAAGTGAGCTTGCTCATTTTATGCTCATGAGTACATTCAGTAAGTGCACTCATATGAGAATATAATTAAAAAAAAAAAAAATTGTGTGACACAGAAGTGAGCTTGCTCATTTTATGCTCATGAGTACATTCAGTAAGTGCACTCATATGAGAATATAATTAAAAAAAAAAAAAATTGTGTGACACAGAAGTGAGCTTGCTCATTATATGCTCATGAGTACATTCAGTAAGTGCACTCATATGAGAATATAAAAAAAATTGTGTGACACAGCAGTGAGCTTGCTCATTATATGCTCATGAGTACATTCAGTAAGTGCACTCATATGAGAATATAAAAAAAATTGTGTGACACAGCAGTGAGCTTGCTCATTATATACTCATGAGTACATTCAGTAAGTGCACTCATATGAGAATATAAAAAAAATTGTGTGACACAGCAGTGAGCTTGCTCATTATATGCTCATGAGTACATTCAGTAAGTGCACTCATATGAGTGAATTCACATGAGTATGTTCTTAATATTCTCAAGAGTATACTTATTGAATGCACTCACGTGAGCTTATAAAGTTGTTGTAAAAAATTTAAGTGAGCACATTCATAATATTCTCATGAGCATGCTCAGTTGAATGAGCTTGCATGAGTACATTTTTTGAGTAGACTCACTTATATGCTCACTTTTCTGAGCATGCTCTTTGTATGTTCGGGTGAAGGACAAAAGTGCAGAAACAAAAAGCTAATTTAATAAATATAAAATATTTTTTTTTATCATGAATGACAGTCAATGAATTCGCTTAGATGTACTGAATAGGAGCGACTAATGGAAGTGCAGATGAAAATGAAGTGAGAAAAAAAATATGAGAACTAAGAAGTGTATCAAGGACGTGAGGCAATTTATTGTTTTGAATAAATAAGGAAATACAAGAATGTTTATGACAAGACAATTGAGGTAAAATTCCGTGCAGAAAATTACAGCGCGCGAAAAAAACAAAATTAACCAAGTCAGTATGACATCAGAAAAAGAAGTATTATTGAGTACGCGTGTGGACATATAACAATATGCACTTAAGAAGTCGCACGAATGAAATAAGAATTACAAAATATTCATCATTCATTGTGTGATGTGTACTTATTTTTATGACAAAATAATAATTTACTAGAAGATCAAAATTAAGAGATAAACCGACAAATTTCGAGCGACATCTACAGCATGGGGATACAAATGCAATGTCATTAAAATCATTAGTAAATATCAATAATATGCAGGCAGTAAATTTTTATAAAATATAAATAAAATTATATTGGTAAATTGAATTGAAGGTGTTTTAGATCACGTTTTGTGTTTTTGCAGCCCATGCAGTACACAAGACTCTCTATATATACATGAACATGTGTATATAGTTTAAAGGTTTTCCTCTAACATGCTAGCATGTTGTGTTGTATTTAATGCAAAAGAATATAAATACATTCAATTGCAAAATGTCAGCGCCGCGCTTATTGAGAGCTAAATAAAAGAGCTCAAATACAACAAAAATATAAAATACTGTTGCTGAAATAATCTATAATATGGTTAATAAAAGCCGAATAGCATTAATAGAGCGATAGAAAAAAATGCTGAAGTTAAATTTGATCTAATGAATGACTTTAACCCCACATACCTGCATGCACTATTTTTAATTATTATGCAAGTTTAAGAAGAAAGAATGAGACAGAAAAATGGCATTGAGATTTTTTTTATTGACTTTTACCTGGCAATTCATCAGATAAGTTGAATGAGATTTTTGCAGTTCCATTGCATCACTAATTATCCACGTGATTGTTTGATTTAATTAATATTTTTTTTAAAAAAAATTTCTTAAATTTTTGAATTATTTTTTGAATTTTTTTCCTAAGATGAGACTTGAATTCTGTCAATACATTGCTACAAGTCTACAATTCAGCACTAAACTAGTCTAAATTACATCACTCTAATTAGAACGTGTGAACAACAACTTTTAGGAAGAATAACAAATTAGTCGACAAAAATTTGCATTTCCTTTTCATTTTCAGCACAAAATTCACATATTTCAAACTTCCAGAATAGCCTTTGTTACACTACAATAACTCATATTTATACTTTTGCGAGCAAATGAAACATAATTTCTGACATTTCTTGGTTCCATAAATTTAATTTGAATTTTTATATCAAAATATTAAAATTATTTGTGCTTTATTGCTTAAAGTCATGAGATTTTTATATTAAAATGGAAATATTTGTAGTTTAGCTAGAAAATTGTTAAATGAACTGTTAGAAGGAAAGTGATAAATTTATTTGGTATCTGATTGGAGCTTAAGTGCTTTTAGGTTTGGCTAAATTGACATTATAGAAATTATTCGAAAGATTATTTTAGTTTTGCAGCATTTGGGCTGGATTTTAAAATTTTTTCAAGCTAATATTACCCTAAGACAGACTAAGATGCAGTTTGAGGTATTCACTAAAGTCAATCAACCAAAATGTCGAATTTCTAGTCAATCATTCAGAAAATTCCCTTCTAAACTCATTAGCATATCTCAAAGCCACTCAAACCCGGTAAAAGCAGTTCCACCTGGATATTTCAATCCACATATAGCTTTGCCTACTTCAATTTATAACTCAATCAACAGCAAGCAAGCCCATTTTACATATAAACACAATAAAATCACGTCCCAATTTAAATTGAATTAAAATCCGCATGTTATTTTAGTCAGAACAATTACACGGTAACCACAGGACCGACAGCTAATATCTGTAATTGCTTTTCTATTGCTCCGGAAAACTGCAGTTGATTAGTCATTAAAGCAGGCTGTAGATCAACTAATAGCAGATTAAAAACTACCTTCATAATAATTTTTTGTCAATTTTTTTTCTCAGACATTCCAAAAAAAAATTAAAATTAAATTTCCGTGCATTGAGCAACATGTCAAGCTGTAGTAAATTGCATAATTAGTCAAAAAAAACAATGATTGAGTGCGAGAGACATAATATCCGGATTAATCTTGAAGTCCTCGTAACTAAAATTAGAACTGTAAATAGAGCAGCATGCAAAAAAAGCAAGGTTGAACAACTACTCAATATTTTTTGCTGCTTAATCAGATACTAGAGGATTAGTTGAACCCGGATTGGACATAAAAACATTAATCAGGGTCCTCAAAACCACAAAACTCGAAAAATATATTTTTTTTTGTATTTATGATTTTCAAAAAAAAATTAATCTAGCTTTAACTATAGTTCAGCATCTGACAGTCTTATAATATCATTTTTTTACTTTTACTCATTATCAATAGCTACAGATATAAAGCACGAATGTAAGGTACAGCTAAGGTACACTGAGTAATAAATTATTCAGCAAATGTTTATTTGTATTCTAAGCGCGAGTGCACATTCGATATGTTTTACATGCATTTTAAAGTTGCAACACGTTCTTGAAAGGAATGTGTGCTTTAAAGGTTGTCTGCTGTGCTTTTCGATTTATGATTTTTCTTCACACGTTTATGCTCGATGAATTTTACTTTTTTTTGCTGACTTGTTAATTATTAATTTTGCGAAATTAGAACAATTAAAAGCATATTGTGAATTATGCGTGTATGATGAATCTACATGACGTGCCATGTTAAAGATTTCTAAATCACTTCTTTGAATAACAAAAAAAAAATAATATAGACCTGATTTCACACACATTTGGTATTAATTGCATTTATCATTGTTCTAATTTTTCTCACATTTGCTTTCAACATATTTTTTTATATTACTTCATTTTCATTATAGTTTCAACTAAACTGTTCCATATTTTTTTTATGATGCCTGATCATTTTTCTTCAGCATGTGTATAAATAAAAATCAGGTTGGTAGAACTTTCCACTTGACATATCTAACATACTTTTTTCTACAACTTAATGATCTGGATTCTCAATTTTCATTTTCAATCTATTTCTACACGCTCGTGTCACTTTCTTTCTATCTTACTGTTTATTCTTAATAATCTTTTATAACTCACCTCTTGTGACTTTTGCTTGTGGCTGAATTGGTGTCTGCTGAACGCGAACAGCATTGACAGTAATAATCAGACATAGCAATAATCCAAAGGACTTAATGTGCCAATTAGAGTTCGTTGTCATTTTGCTTTACTTTATTTTATTTTATTTATTTTTTTTAATTTTGTTTGTGAAATAATAATTTTTTGTGATGTCAGTTCCTTAACAACACACTGCACAGATGCACAATTCTTTTTTCACTATTTTTAAAATTTTTATTTTTTCCACGCACTTATTTTCAAATATATTTCAGATATTTTATTTCCACTTTAATCCGAATCAAGACAATATTTTAAGCACTTGTTTGCACACTGCTGGCTCAAAGTGCAATGAAAGGAGTTCTCTCAAGTGAACATGAATTCAAACTGTAAATTAAACAACCGAACCGCTTTTAATTCGCATAACCAATTTTATATATTTTTTTTGAGCGGGAGTGATGGAAAGAAAAAAAATCACTTTTTATTTCAACATGAAAAGCCGTATTGACTGTTAAAGCAAAGCTTTAAGACTGGAATGGTTAATTGGAAATCGAGGTGCTTTTAAAAAAAACATTTTTTTCTTCTCATTTCTCAGTGCTCGCTTTGCGATCGAGACAGATCTGCACAAAAACGATCGTGCTGTTATGTTGGAAGGGAGGGGAGACGAACATCGGCTTATGAGTAGGGGAAAGCAGCTGTGCTTGTTGTTGCTACTGCTTGCTTTTTGTTTGTAAGAAAGCGTGATTTCCCCTTTTTCAATGATGTCTAGTGTGTGCATTAAACACACAAAGATGTATAGAGCGCGCGCGAAAAAAAAAAACCTGACCAGATTCAACAATCATAACAGCATTAAGTAGCAACAGCAGCGGCATTTCTCACAACTTTAACATCTTCGGTGAGATTATTGAGAAGAATTAACTGAGAGTGAAATAAAAATGAAGCAATTTTTGTGCCGTTACATCTTGCCGACTTGCTTCCTCTTCTGCTTCTGCTTCTCAATTATTTACTCTGTAAAAAGAGATTCCATAATAGTAGCAACAGTAGTAATAATAATGATCATGATGAGACAATGTAAAATGTAAAAATGTAAAGTGAAATGAAAAACCTGTCTGGCGAGAATCTTTCTGTGTCAGTAAGCCAAACGACAGAACAGTCGTGCATGCATGCATGATGATAATAATCAGTTCTTTTCTGCAGACGTGCTTTTTTTGCTTTCGTTTGTAGGGGCTTCAAGAATTGGATTTTTCTCGAATATTTTTATGCTAGCTGAGTAACCAACATAGTTGGAATTAAAAAAACTTATTAAATAAAAAAGCAATGCAGATCAAGAATATTGACAATCTGATGCTGTATTTAATACATCTCTAATTGAAGTTATATCTACTAAAATAGAGCACATAAAGTAAAATTATAAAGCTAGCCCGTGACATGGTTTCATGTCTCTTACATCATTATGATCATGACATTGACTGACCCCTGTCATCCTTTTAAGGCTTAGCTCATGGTCAATGTTAACTCAAAAACAGTTTATCTCAATTATTTTGGAAAATGACACTAATCTATGTTGTGGCAAAATTGCATCAGTGAATTAAATAAAACTTGGTTTAAATCCTAGTCTTAGTTAATTTTCTAAAGCTCTTCTTCATTTTACTATTCAAGTTACGAAGCTTGATCAGCATGCTGGCTATTGAAATCATTGACACAAAATTTTTGGAATATATGATAGGGATTATCTATCACACACGTTGGTTATTGCTCGACAAAAATTGGATTGACACACCAGCAGCCTTATCCTAATCTTCCTCAAATAGTTAAAAATTTAATTTAACTTTATTACAATGTATTTTTGTCTCTGAGCTTTAAAAGTAATTTTTACAGTTAATTGCACATATTACAAAGTAACAAGAAGCTAATGAATGGAATCTTAAGCGTAAGTATCAAAAATCAAAATTTTAGGTATAAAAAAGTAAAATTCTAATGCAAGTCTGTGCCACTTCAACTCAACATGGGCTTACTCTAGATAATATTCAAGAAACCGGCTGTTGGAATTCAAATAAAAAATTCAATTTATTAATTCAACGCATGCCCCTCTTTCCAGTCACAAATTCCTCGATGAACAAGAATTTCAGTTCCACTACTAAGTAGAATAAAAAGTGTCTCAAGCAGAAATGAAGAAAAATGTAGAGTACGTGAGAATAATTAATTGGCAAAAAAAAGCGTGCCCCACCTAGCAGAGTGTTATAGCCTTTTTTTTTGAGATGAAAGAAAAAAAAAGCTCTTTTATTCATGAATAATTATGTACTCGCATGCGATGTATGAATGTAGAAATAATAGGACTGATTGCAATTGAGATTACGAATGAAGACATAATCCATTATGGTAATCAGTTTAACGCTTCTCAACATTAAAAACTGTTACTCATCATGTCTTCTGCTTCATTATTTTTTTTTCTCATTCCAATAAGGAAATAAGGTAAACCACAAAAAATAACTATTTCAGTTTCATCGCTGCTACGAATGCGATTCACATTACTCGAGTGTCTCTTATGTCGATGCAATTTTCAATAATATTGACATCTTAATATGCTCTTTTTTTCTGCAGCTTATTTTCTTGTCATGAATACCTTCATAGCAATATTATGAAGGCATCGTAATAGCTAACTATGTCTGCGTCTGTTTCTAGCGGTACATATTTAGTGAAATATTGAAACTCATAATGAAATAAATTATTGTTGTTATTATTGTTAGCTATTTGACGATTATTATTGTTAAATGAACAAAAAATTGCACATAAAATGTAATATGACTGAAATATTATAGTGTTTATGTTAGTAATGTGGTGATATTAATCATGATTTTTATCTCGCGTCGATCAATCTCACGTGACAAAATTTTGTTGAGGTAATTTGACTTTTTCGTGTGTGTGACTTTTTTTGGGTTGATTTTTGACTGTAAATTGCACGATAATCGGCGGTTTGGACCGCTTTAAGCTAGTTTAGATCACAATTCAAAACATTTTCGAGAATTAGATTTGAGTCGTTATAGACAATTTAAAATGATGTCTAGTTATCCAAAATTGAATATCATCTTCATGTGATGGGGGTCTATGAATTGAATAAGAGATTGCTAGGCTAGCTTTTGCTAGACTCATGAATTTTAACACTAACCATCTCCTACATCCTTTAAAAATTTAAAAAAAAAAAACTGAGTCAACCTTTACTAATTTATGGATATCACAAACTATGACAATAACAGTCAAAATCACGAAAAATAAAAAATCAATACAACAATAATTTGTTAAACTTTAATTTAGTCAATAAGTTATGAATTTTGTTCTATGTAGGTATTATTGCTTCATTCACAATGTAATTCATTGTTAAAAAAACTTTCATGAGAAAAATGTCATGTGCTTAAACCAGAGCAGTTTATCGATATTAATAAACAAGTAAGTTTATTTTTAAATACTTAATAAATGTAGGAGTGGGAATTGTTTCAGTTCACCGTAAAGTTCAATAATTTACTGAATAATTTTAAAGCTATTGAAAATTGTTCGATAAAACAATGACCGAAATTAAGTTAACAGTTCTGTTGATATTATTGTAGACTAAAGTGTTTAATTTTTACTGATAGAACTTATTTGAATAATTTTTAAAATTGAGCCACCATTAGTTTGAGCTTTGAAGCGTATGTAGCAGTATTTCTTAAACTTTTTCGGTTTTTGGCATTCCAATATTAAATTTGATGATTTGACAGCGCTCTAGATTGACATCAAACAGATTGACGAATGGCACAAGTCGGTTAATCGAATAGAAATCCTGCGCACAGCCGGCATAACTTTGGCATGGTGCTAGTTTCGGTTAGCATCCAGCACCATGCCAGAGTCCCAGAGTCCAGGGGCGTAGCCAGGGGGGGGGGGTGCATAGGGGGCTTAAATATTTAAACTTATGAAGAATGAATATAGATTTAAGGATACAAAATAACGGTTTTTTAATTTTCGAAAATGGGCCCTCCCTTAAAAAATTTCTGGCTACGCCCCTGCCAGAGTCACACCAGCTTTGTGCCAGATTTTGGATTGATTAACCGACTTGTGTCATTCGGGTTAAAGCTATGTCTATGTCTTAATTTTTGGCATATTACAGAAAACTAGGATTATGGCTAGGGTTTATCTAGCTTTTACCCAAAAAAAAAAAACTTGTTTAGAAAAGTTTTGAAGCATATATATTCAAATTTTATAGATATATTTTGAGATATCTCACATCATTCATTAGTGTGTCACATAAAACAGTTCAAGAACTACTGGAATGAAGCAACTTTTGTTTGATTTGCTTTAAATTTGATTCATTTATTCATGCGACCTTCAAATAAGTATCAAACTACTTAATAGTGATTTTTCAGCTTCACTCGACCACCTAATCTGACAAAAAAAATTATTGCGCATAAAACACCCAAGTCAATTAATATTTTTTTAGCCACACTCTTATCCAAAATCTGAATCAAATTTTTTGACTCTTTTTTTTTCGAGCCGTAATTTATTTATAGCTGATCTCGCACACCTTTTTTGTTTTCAACTACGACAAAAAAAAAGCATTTTCAAATCCATTTTTTTATCATTTAATCTCATGGCGTAATGCAATACAATAAATATTAACGAAAAATCCACACCTTTTCACCCTAGAAGTGAATAATGTTATTGAGAAAAATCGCTTAAACCAGTGGAAATACATAGTAATTAATAAGGCTGGAGCAGCAGAAAGAAAGTGAAAAGATTAAGAAATAAAAAGTTCATTAAAATTGATCAAGCTCCATCAAAATAAAAGCCATTCATGTCGTGCCAACGATATTTATTGAACAAAATATTTTGGGCACTTTGCTCTTTGGGATATCTTATCACATTTTGTCCGTACCACGGAATATAAATTATGAATTATCTTAAGTTGAAAGAAGTATGTATGTTCATACAAAAATAAATTTTGCGGATTAACAAAAAAGACATTAATGGCGTTAAGTCTACTTTCATTCTCCTTTCCTTCCCTTTTTGTTTCGTTTAGTTTTCTTTTGTATAACTTTAGTATATGTGCGGGACATACTGAAGAATCAATCAGACATTGAATTTTAAAGTTTAATAATTTGTTATGTTTTAATTTAAGCAATTAGAAATGAACAGGACTTAGTTTTGGTTCATGAACAAATGAAACTTTTTCATTTTTGTCCGATTTCTCTGCCAACGTCTTTCTTTATGCTGGCTTTGAGATACATTTTTGTTGAAACTGGCAATTATTTCGCTTTAGGTAGAAACAATTAAGTTGTAAAAAAGTCAGACAAAGGGTATGGAAACTTTAAGCAGGAAGCCTAATTGTAATGTTAGGGACTAAAATATGACATACAGAATCTCCTAAATATGAAGTTAAATGCTCTAAATGTGAAAAGCTATAAAAGAGTAAATAGATATTTTCTGACGAATACGGGATTATTGACAATCATCCTATTTTAGTCACTATAGTCATGATAATTAAGTAAGTACTCTAGTATCCCGA